ATTACGCTGTTGTATAATTTAATGTAAACTGAATTTAACATCAAATGTGTTTTTGCATCATTAATTGGAAATTTTTTTTATGATTGTCAGTTCATCTGAGTTTGTTTTAAATAGATAACTATTTAGGTACTAAGTGTCGATGTATGACTCAAATGTAATGACAATATTCTATGTTTTCTTCCATGTAATGTCAAATATTATCTTTTGACTTTTAATACCTAAAAAACAATTTTAATCACATAGAATGAGAAAAATAACTCGAAGTTTATTTTGCACATTATTTGCAGCATATGTAGTGTTCAAAAACCCTATTGTCGAAAATGGGAGGCTAGGAAACGTCTTGATGAAGACGAGGGTAATATAATTATTTTTTTTATAGTTTTGGTTAATATCACATTGTTAGACATCTGAAGGCAGTAACATTATAAAAGACATAATTCCTGAACAAAAGATATTCCTAAGTTAAGGCGTTCGTCTACCAATATCCTCAATATGAATCACAAATTCACAAAATAAACTATACATTAAAAGAATCTTCATTGTTGTTAAGCTGATGTAGTAAAAACTTCATTTCCTAATTGTTTGATTTTATAGATTTCAGTATTAAGAGTTATTACTTGTATTGTTCAAACTTTCATTAGTATTACAACTCCGACTCAGTTTGCAATCACAGCACCAAAACTAAATGTTTACAAAAAAGGATTATTTAATGATTTATACGAATATTCGTCAAGATTAGAATGAATAGTTTGACAAAAATTGGGTGTCGAATATAGAGAAGTCGTTATACATGAAAATTATATTTGAAATAATCTCAGGGATTGAAATTTAAATAATTCCAACGTTTCGTCCAGCTAACTTGTCTGGACTTCTTCAGGGTAATAATCGAAATCAAAATCATCATAGAAATATGTGGCTTTTTAACAATCGAAACTAAACTGTGTTAAACCAATCATATTTAGATGTTGAGTTTTGTAAAATAGGATAAAATGAGTCAGTTAAGTGTAAATCACGTGAAAAATTCAACTACATGGAAGTAATTAACTGAATAACAAATTGTATGTGCGGGAGTGTGCAGATATGTATGTATGTGTAAGATTAATTATTGATATTCGGTGTTGATATGTTATATATGAAGGAATAAATAAATAAAAGTCCAAGTTCAAGGTTGAAAATTTGTTAATGAATCATCGATGTGCATGTCAAATCCAAGAAACAATAGATACATAATTGTATTGCTAAAAACTCATTGAATTCAGTCAAAATAACGATGCATGTGAAATAAACAGGTTGAATAAAGCGAGGGTTCAAATTACTTGTCAACGAAAATTTGCTAGGTAGTCGCTGGTTGAATACCATTCTTTCGGTTCAAGCTGTTCTTGTTCGCCCATATATAAAGCGCTTCTGCTGTCAATCTTTCTTTATGTATGTTAAAACCTTTCTGAAGTATTTTGGTCCCTTCAAGATTAATCTTGTGTCCTGTTTCTAATGCATGTAACGCTATCGTAGACTTATTCTCAAGTTTCTTCAGGTCGACCGAGGATTTGGGAACATTTTTCAGACATTGTTTGTGTTCCTTCAACCTTACATTCAATTGTCTGGATGTTTATCCCATATAAGCTGCATTACAATCATGACAGTTGATCTCATACACAATATTTTGTTACTCTTCCTTTGGTAACCAGTCCTTAACTTTCACTAATGTCGATCTTAAAGTATCACTTGCCCTAAAATACACTCTTATATCATGTTTGTTTAGAATCCGCTTGATTTCTTCCGATGTTTCACTACGGTATGGGATGACTACGGTGTACTTCCAAACTTTTCGTATACATTCTAGTTTAATGTTTCTCTCATTTTTAACAATCCTCTTTAAAATCTCTTTTGGGTAGTTGTGATATGATTGGTTTAACACAGTTTAGTTTCGATTGTTAAAAAGCCACATATTTCTATGATGATTTTGATTTCGATTATTACCCTGAAGAAGTCCAGACAAGTTAGCTGGACGAAACGTTGGAATTATTTAAATTTCAATCCCTGAGATTATTTCAAATATAATTTCCACGTATAACGACTTATTTAATGATTTGATTAATATTTCACGAGTAGATAAATATGCTGTAAATATGTTCCCCTTCCAATAATAGACTATTTAAGTGGCGTTTTTTTCAGTTAGATAATTTCAAAATCTTTTGAAACATTACGTTACTCACATTCTAAGATTAAAATAAGAAAAATCAAAAACAATGAGATTATGCAGAAATTATTTCCACAAAAATAAAAACAAAATTATAGACAATTAAATTTCTTGATGAAGCATGTTTAATGTTGGTAATCGGATCACACTAATCCATTGCTCTTTTTTTTGTTGTTGTTTGAAATCCAGAAGCCTATTTTCAAAGTTTAGAACCGGGATTACATAATGACACTGGTTAGTAATGAATATGATTTCGATGTTAATTTTCTAAAATGTTCTAACAAAAAATCATTATAATGGAAAGTAATTAAAATTTCATAACTAAATTGTATTTTACTAGTAAAAGTAAGATTAGAGTTCGTAACTGTATTATTTAAAGAACAAAAATTTTATTGGTATTTTTGAATATACATAGATATTTTTCATAAACTAAAACCAATCTTGTATGGAATTACCAGATCACTATGTGATATCCTTTATAAATTTCAAAATATACACTGACTCATGAATATGGAGATTATGAGGATTCCGATCAGTAGTTTTTATTTCTCAATTGACCTTTTCGATTTTTTAAAGTAAATAAATAAGATCGTTTAAAGATCCGTATCGCATTAAAAGACTAATATTTGAACCTTCAAACAGCATCAGGGCTCCCATGATTCTGATTTGGGACTCTTCAAACCTCTTTTCTTGACGCACCATATAGGCTTCTAGTTGCTCCAAGGAAATATTCATTGTAGTTTTTCAGTCAACACTGATAAGTCTTGCGGTTTGAACGCTTCATTCGTCTCCTAAGCTATTCTGTAACCCCCAAGCTAGAGCTATACGGCGACTTGAACACGAGAGAGAAGACTCAAAGTATGAAAGAAGTAGTTTACTCCAAGGTTCATTTTTGTACAGAAAACATGGGTATTTATAGATGTTAACATTTGTTAAATCAACATAATATTTTAGCCAATCCGCTAAAAGACATATTATGCTACTGACGAATAGTAGCACGCCACGTTGACATTCTAGAAAGCTCCATCATGCTCTGATTGGCTAGGACTCTTCGGCTCCTCTAGGGCCTCTGGAGGCTCCGTTGCAATTCTCGGAAAGCCGACTCGACACTCCCACGAATGAGATTTCTTTCTAGGATCTACTTGTAGCTTGACAACTGGGTTGCGGCGGCGTCTCATTGTTCTTGTCGTCTGCCTTGTCCGAGGCTTCTTTTCAGTGTCCTTGGGCATATGTAGCGTTGGTGTGTCTAAGATTAACTCTAACGGAAAATTTGGTCGGTTTTTTCGAGTCTGCATCGTTCTTTTGTCCTTATTGATTTGATTCGTATGTTGTATACATGTTCCAAAAGATCCTCAGACTCTGTACAGAACTTTCCCGATTTTTGTACAACCTTTCCCGGCTCCCATCGGTTCTTCCAGATGAAGGATTTAATGAAAACTTCGTCGCTAATATTGAAACTCCGGACATATAGATTTTGGCCGTGCCCATCCACTAATTCGGATGGCCACATGACGTTGAAAACGGTTCGAATACGTCTTCCGAGCATGGCTTCGGCAGGGGACTTACCATCTGGAACATTTGGGTCCGGAGCGGCTCTGTAGGATGCTAAAAATTTTTTGATTACCTGTCCAGTTGTCCCTTCGCCCCCCTTTCAGTAATACTCTTCTAAAGGTGTCCACAGAGCGTTCTGCTTGTCCGTCCGATTGCGGATGATCGGGCGGAGAACGAAGACGAGTTATTCCATGTACGATACAGAAATGCTTAAACGATTCTGCGACGAATTGCGAGCCGTTATCGGTTACTAAGGTCTCTGGTACTCCGAAACAGCTAAACAGGGTAGACAACTTGTGGATTGTTTCTGATGTTGTACAGTTAGGCATGGTATATACTTCCGGCCACTTAGTAAATGCATTTACGATAATTAGAAACATTTTTCCTTGGATTGGATCAGCAGAATCTGCGTGAAGTCCTACCCAGGGTCCTGCAGGCGTAGGCCAATACTGAGGTTCGCATTTCAAAATATTTTTAGCGGCTTGAATGCATGATGGATAGTTACGGCATTTATTCTCGATATCTTTGTCCATTGACGGCCAATAAGCATAACAACGATTTCACTTTATTGATTCCAGGATGGCTACTGTGAAACTGCTTGAGAACCTTGTGACGTAATAACTTCGGAATAACAATTCGATCACCGAACATAATACACGAGTCAACGACCATTATTCTTTTAAATAAATAAGATTTTAGAAATTGATCCAAGAAGCACAGCTAAAATATCATCTAATCAGTTAACACAAGTTTTATGATATTGTGATAATATACGCGGAAATGAATGAAAAACATCCTTGATTATATGTGAAAATTATATTTGGAACAATCTGTGATTGAAATTTAAATAATTCCAACGTTTTGTCCAGCTAACTTGTCAAAGAATTATATATTGTTTAACAATCAAATCTTTATTGTACTTATCCAATCATATTCAAATGGTGACTTTAGTAATTAGGGTAAGATGTGTCAGTTATATGCGAATCAATGTGAAAAATTCACCATGTGAAGATAAAGAAATGAATGATTTCGTGTGTGTGTATTTATGTATGTGTTAGTTTGGGTACCCTATACTTGGCGCCCAATTTCTGTCAGACTATCCGTTCTATTCGTCAATTAAAGTTTTGGTAAACCCAAAGTACCATCAAGTTGCTTCTTTAACTAATTTGTCATTGTTTTACTGAATTTAAGCTGATTAAGTTGAATATGAAGTGGTAAAATGTCTCGTGTATGAAATCGACCCAAGTATTGAATGATATTTACGGAAAAATGTTATTTAATTGTAATTAATAATATATTTATAGAATATGACGAGTTAGAAAAGAATATAGCTAAAATTGAAAGTGAAATTCCTTGTTTATATGGTAAGTTGATTAGTAGAAAATTTATTTTAGAATATTTTGTGCTGTCTAAAAGGTTTTTATAATAGGAGTCTGTTAATATGATGTTACACTTGAATAAACATAGATGACAAAGTTGTCTTATCAGTATAGCGTTGTGGATATGTCTGAGTTTTTTAATTGAGGTCATGAAATGATCAATGTTAGACAATCATTGAAAACCTTGAAGTACTGAATGGCCGTTTCAACCTAGTATGAGACTCCTCAGTAGTGTGAATCTAGGACCCCACATGCGGGGTCCGAACCCAGGACCTTCGATCTCGCGCTCAAATACTTAACCTGTAGACCAGTGAACCGGCATCCAATGGTGTTAATGTCTAACTTCAATCAATCCACGATACTGCTCGACCATCTTATATTGTTTTCGTTGGTAACTGCCTCATACTTGACAGGAATTATCTCTAGTCGTCACGGCTTCTCATGAGAATTCCGATAGTTACCTCTCGAAGCTAGTTACTAGTGCGTACATGATAATTATCAGTATAGGGTTGTTGAGATTGTTGAGTTTTTTAAATTGACATAGTGAAACGATCCAGTGCTTCCAGGTTTTCAATGGTGTTTTGACATTGATCGGTTCATGATCTCAATCAAAAGGCTGTCTTAATTATTTTATTTTTATGTTAACGCAGTTGAATGCTCCTACATTGAATTTTGCTGCACTTTAAAATCACTGTTACTTTTAAATAATAGACTTACAATTTTGACAAAATAGCAATGAGTTTATTTAACACAAGTAATTTATGAAGCCAATCAGATTATTAGAGATTTGATTAAAATCAGTGTTTGAGAATACAATGGTTAATCGACCACATATAATTCATGCAAAACCCATAGGTTATATACAGTCAAAATTCAGAATATCATTATAATTTAATTATAATCAAATCGATTGTAGTTTTGGTTACTATGTTAAGCCCATATACCTTATTCTAGCTTCTGGACTGGCCAACTTATTCATTTAGCTTGAGTCACGTTTTGACCTTGTTAATTATTCACTTATCAACCCTGATTGCTTTTATATGAGCGCATAAGTGTGTGCACATTTCTCATCCTATTCATCACATGTCTGTCACTTATTTTTGTCTGACTGATTAACTCCTGGCTAAATGGAGTTGGTTCACACACCACTGTGTATTATTTCTCTTCGCTCTCTTCTCTTCGCTTGTCTGTCCCGTTGTTCGGTGCTTCTTGAGTTTCAGTTTCATCTTGGCGACCAGTAAGTGATGATCTGATGCTACATCAGCTCCTCTCCTGGTTCTCACATCCTCCACTGTCCTCCTGAACATTTTGTTGATGCGGATATGGTCGATTCGGTTCTGCGTAGTGTGATCCGGTGAAGTCCATGTAGTTTTGTGAACGCGTTTATGTGAGAATATAGTGCCGCCCATGACCAGTTTATTGAAGGCACAGGGGTTTGTAAATCTCTCATCATTTTAATTCTTTTCTCCCAGTCCGTGTCGTTTCATGATTTCTTCATATCCGGTGTTGTCCATTCCCACCTAGGCATTTAGGTCTACCTTCAGAATGATCAAGTCCTTTGTTGGGCACTTTTCGACGATTAACTGAAGCCTATCGTAGAATTGATGTTTAACGTCCTCACTGTAGTCGTTGGTAGGCGCATAGCATTGGATGATGTTCATTGAAATGCCCTCTTTCTTTGTTTTGAAGGAGGCCTTGACGAACCTTGGTTCATGAAATTCCCATCATATAAGTGCATTTTGTGCTTGTTTGGACAGCATCAATGCAACTCCTAGTGTATGTGGGTCATTTTCTTCTTCATGGCCGGAGTATAACAGAAGCTCACCTTGAGCTATTCGTTGTTGTCCAACATGTGTCCAATGTGTTTCACTGATCCCGAGCACCTCCAGGTTGTATCTCCTCATTTATGCAGCAATTTGGAAGATTCTCCCAGTCTCACACATTGTACGAGCATTCCGTTTGCCTAAATAAATGGTTGCTCTGGTTATTAGAAGGGACATCGGCCTCATGACTTCCGAAGGAACTTGGCTTTCACTATGAGGCGTCATAACTCTTCTAAATGAAGACCTTCTGACTCCCAGGGCAGGGTTTAAATGGGTTGAATAATTGTTCCTGACTAGCGTTTTTTAGCGAGTTATTTTTCTACGGGATGGGGTCGCTGACGCCATGCTTAACCCTCCTCCTCTATTCAGGCTTAGGACTGGCGGTAACCCCTGGAGAGGCTCCAGGCGGAGTTATTTTTTGACTACAATGTGAAAACAATTCGAAAATTTTTTAAATAACTAACTGGAATTTATTTGTAATTAATTATTATACAAGAGTGAAACTGAACTCTTTTAAATGAATTTCATTTTCTCAGAGAAACTAAAATCACTTTCTGAACCGTTAGCTGAAATTACAAACGAATACATTAGAAATTCAGGTAAGAAACTGATATGTAGTAAATACGAATCAAAGATAGTTGTTATAAAGTGCTTACAATCACGATCATTCTGTAATATATAGTCAAACGACTAGTTAAATTTATTGAGATAGGTATAACTTTTCTCCCGGTGTCTTTTTAATGTTAGATAACGATTACGATAAACACTTCAGTAATCACTTTTATCCGTATTTCGAGAAGCATATGATTTTGGTAGTTATTACGAAACATTTGAATACTGTCCTTAAAGTCATCTACACGTAGTACATGAATGCAGTGAGAGTGTTTGAACGTTTCACTATATTTTGTTTTTCATGATGAGCAAATTATATGCTACTTAATTGTTAATGCATAGTTGACATATTATTTATTCACTAATTCTACATAATATTTTATTACTGGCACAGCGTATTAATTCCATTCTTTTATTGTTCTGTGCAAATTAAACAGTTTGCGTAGTTTTTATTTCTGAATTAAAAAAATCCATTTGTATTTCAGCTGATCCTTTGAGAAGCAATGAACTACATCAGAAGTTCCGTGATTCTTCTATGGTTTATGCTGAAATTACATGTAATTAATTTGAAGTAACCTTATTCATTTGTTCACCTTTAATTTGCAATTGACTGGTTGAGTGAGAAGTAGTACCGTGTTTATTTAAACATTTAAGTGTTAGTCTAGTTTAAAAGATTAGTTTTTGATGTACACGTTAATCAAAGTGACAGGCGATCGTGTCCACTTGGTCGATAGGATTCTATCAGCACTGAAAAGGACTAGACATATATGAGATTGGCTAATACTCAGTGATCAATTCATTAAAAGTATTTCAGTTTAATAGAAGGTCAGTAACAGTCCAAAGAGATTAGTGGTAATATTTCAGTTTGTACAGATAATTGAAGTGTGTTTGAATCTGTCAAGGAGCACATATTAATTCAAAATTTCATGTACATTTTGATGATGAGTGCCAAACAACGCGAACCAAGGTCTAGGGGTTTACTATAGACCATTTCCTATCAACTAACATTTTGCTCACATTTGGTATATCTGTATCGGAATTGGAAATAACTCTAATAAACTAACTACAAAACATGATCCATTGAGGACGCTGTAAAATGATGGATAAACCATATTTGTACTTATTGACAGTTATAAACATTTATGAAATACTGATCAATGATAATTATTTTTCCAGAATGAACAGTGTAACAATAACGTAGCGTTATTAGATTTCGGAATGAGCAAAACATTAGATCAATAACTTTTATTCACGTTTATCAAGAAAGACCTATTCAAGAAGTCATAACTGGAATGTTAATAAGATATTCTAGCTGTTTGCTATCATTTTATGAAAACTTAAATAATTCGATGTTAATCAGTTATGCCAACATATGTCAATCTCTTTATTTATATGAATGCTTAACGAATTTCACATGTCACTTTATGACTAACTAAAAGGACTCATCAAGTATGTATATTACGTTTATAGTGTTTTGTTATTATAATGTTTGATTATTATTTTTTTAGATGCAACTGCTGAAAAAATTCGTGAGATTGAGACTCTAAGGTTTCGTTTGCTCAAATGTAAGTTGCATATTCTAATTACTTTCATATTTATTTTAGTTTTGCCATCACATAAAAGAACTCAAACCGTTTTGGATGCGATGAAGAGATTTGCTATTTTATAAATATGTAAGTCTATGTACACTGTAAGTTAAACTACAGTATGCAAGTTCTGGCACACTTGTACTAATCTTTTTTGCTTAGTAGTATTTGCGGAAATACTGTATGAGTATAACGATAGAAATAAAACACAAACCTTTACAAAAACTGTTTCTTTGCATTTTGAAGATGGATAGAACGTCACTCGAAGCTTCATAGGAATAGGATAATGAATCACGTTCGATCAACTATATTTACCCAGTTTCTCGATATAAATAGAGAGTTACATTGCGCAGTGTGTAGTTGTATTCACGAAACAATAAAACATAGTTTCTAACTGGTGATATGGTTTGATTTAACTAGAGAAAGTTATTAATAAAAATTAGATAATATATGTTCACAATAAGGTTTTAATATTATCCAAATCAACCTCATGTTCCAAAGAACTTTATGAACAATATCTATGGTATGTTTGATCTTTTTATGAAATATAAAGGATACAGAAATTATTTTATGGCAAATTCACTGGTTTAAGCCAACCTTACTTAAATTGCATTCTCAAATATATCCTCATGGACAAATGCATCCGTTTATGTAAAATAAATGAGATTTATTTTTGTATTTATGTTTCAGATGGAAAATGTTTCTTTTAAGAAGTAAATTCACAGTTGGATTAGTGATTGTTTTGGTTGAATTCAAAGACTTGTCGATTGTTCTAGTAATCTGAATTGATAATCCTTTATTAATGTATGTTAAGTTAACGTTTACATAAATAAATAGTGAATTCTTTTTTTCCTGAAAAAAAATACTGCGACATTCAAAAATTCACTATATCCACTTACTAAATTTGTATACTTCTGTTTGTGTAAAATTGATGTTTAACACTCTGACAAAATCAAGTATATGTTTGGTGTTTCACAATCTCTTGAATAGTGAATTGTTTATTTTCTTCTGAAGTTTTAAATACAATTGCGTTTCATTTAACCTTTATCTTCCTATAAATATGTTTGTTGATTGTGAATGATCGTCTGAATAATTGAGAAAGTGAATTACTTCATTAAATATACTATTTAATGGAACGCTTTTATACAAAATATAAAAATAACAGTCATTCTGTTTCATACAAAAAGAAGAGTATGAGGAGTTAATTTATTGATTCATGTGAGCAATCAATTTGTTGCAATTCATGTTAGGTCTATCTAGTTTTTAATGGTTGCTAAATTCTATCGATGTAGTCGCAGTGTGTGATCACTTGTCCTAGTGATTCGGTACTGCACCCACTCTGTTTTGGTGTTAGATAGTAGAAGGGAATTGGTAGAAATTTGTAAACTTAAATTTTATACTATTTGGTGCTCATCATCAAAGCACATAAATCATGCGTATGAAATTATATACATAAAATGGTGGTTCATATGACGTGGTGATACTCTTACTAGAAATATCTTTCAATTATAATACGTCAATCCGCAGTGTAGCGCTGTCAGGGTAATAATAAAAGCTTTAATAGTATGCGCTAATTGAAATTTTCACCAGTGTAATGATACAGTTATCATCGTTAGGTGGTAAGAAATCACATATCTAGGTTTCATGTTATTTGGCACTCACCATTAAAATGTACATGTCTTACTAGGTCATTGTTTAATTTTCCGTTTAGTAATAAATTAGTTTTCTCTAACAAATCTTCGTTCACTTCATTCCTGTTACATTGAGATATTTTCACATAACATCACTAAGATGTAAGATGTTAGTTAGAGGTGGTCAACAAGAAACTATGAAGTTAGTTTGCGAGCAGTTTGGCGCTCCTAAGCAATGTGTATCTATAATCTTAAGGGAACTGATATTCCCTAGCGAATTTGATTGATGTTATATTTATCTAGTTCAACATGTTGACATAACAACTGAAGTACAAACGGCAGTAAGCATTCAATAATTTGTACACCTAATGAAGGAATCCGAGTGATATTAATTATGTTTCACATATCTTGGGAAACTAAACTCCATGTATTCAATATTTCACAACAAAAGTGCTAATAATCACACAGTTCTAGCAAAAAAGTTATAATAAGGTAATCGTTCACTAGAGTTTGCGATAAACTCTAACTCATAAGACACAGTCTTCTTTCGTATGCTTGTCTAAATATCATCAATACCAATAATCACACTATTCATGTAATGTAGGTGTTTCACGGAAAATAGTCAAGGTTTTTCAAGAGTCGATCCTAGGTGAGACTTTAATCACAATCATATGTTGTGGTTCAGTCAATATTTTCTGACATTCTAATTACATGTAAACCCATCGATCCTTGTTCAGGATGGTTGTAAACAGCCATTTTAAACCTGAGATTTCACTTGTACCTCGGTCTGTTTGTCTATTTCTGATTCATATTATTGATGTTTTCTTCGAGTATAACATAATTGTTGATCAGCGTTCAATTATTCACGGGATTTCTGATTGGTCCACTATATCAATCACACTATAGAAAATCATGGTTGCTATAAATTTTTCTGTTTGCAATCATTGGTTCACTGATCTTATTTTCAATAACGGATAAACATGAAAGTGAAGTGTGTTCTGTACAATACGGTGCCCGAAATTATTTTGTCGAATTCTCAAGATCCAAAATAAAAGCAATTCACTTTGATATAGGAAGAATATATGAAACCGATTTCAATAATCTTAGTGGATACAAATGAAACGAATCAATTTACAATGAATGGTCACAATGATGTTGTAACCGAGACCTAGAGGTAATATTGATGTGGTCGATGATTTGTGATAACTAATAAGAGTCTAGGTAAATGAAGTTACGCTTACCGGCTATTTCTCCGACCACAAAATGTAGATTCCTTTATACAAATAATAATACAGGTTGCAAATTTTAAGCATAAACTAACGAGCTTAAAATTGTAATTATACCAAAAGGAAAGTTAACATGTATTTAAAATTTTTATTATGGAAAATTCTTAAAAAGCGAAAGAATCTATTTTTTTCATATTATCATAAAAGTTGGAAAGTGACAGTCCATTGCATTTGAATTTTTTTAGCCCATATGAAACTTTGTCGGTCGAATTCTCGCAGATACTTTTTAGTGGGGCCCTTTATTTTCTCGTCATTTGGGTCGGGCTCACCACTTTAGTGGCCTGGGATCTGACTCCAAGGAGATCGTATGAATGATTGCTGTCGAAAAGTTTATATCGCCTATCCTCGTACATAATCATCGACTTAAATCGCGTTAGTCAATAAGGAAATTAAATAAGTCAAATACGAGAATGAATTTCGAATACGTATATTTCATTCAATCTTTGATCCAGACAAAATATCGGAGAAGCGAAGAGAAGAGAGCGAAGCGAAATAACACACAGTGGAGAAGGCTTGTGCACCAACTCCATTTAACAAACCGTTAATCAATATTTATAGTCAGACAAAAATAAGTGACAGACATGTGATGAATAGGATGAGAAATGTGCACACACACATACGCTCATCTAAATACGACATGAAGGTGAAAAGTGTGCTTTGGTGCAAAAACAAGGAAATTTAAATTTCCAAAATAAAACTATATAATTAAGGTATTTACCAAGTGAGTTCTGGGGATCTAACATCCCCAACAAATCTCAACATATGTTGGATAGATTTCGTATTTATTTCCTTGCCATACCACCATAAATAGACGTGTTACCGATTCGATTCATTCATTAGCGTGTCGTCTGTCAAGAAAATGGAGTTTAGAAAGTAAACATTTCGATAATGTGAAACGTGAGAATCTTAGAAACAGAAATAAATAGTCCTTAGGTCACAATACTGCTAAGTAATGTGAACGATGAATATGTTTAAATGATTAATCATTGGTGGTATTTCAAAAGCAATCAAAATTGTTATAAAACTCATATTGAACTTTACAGAACAGTAAGCTACATAGAACTATCCAAACAATACTGAATGAAGACTGCTTATGAGTTTTTCAACGGCATGTAAAATGTATATTTCATTTCAGTTTGAGTCATGTAAAAAATGTCTTTTTTTAACAAGGTTACATTCCGTGACTGGACTTTATGTTGTGAAGTGGATGACGATAACAAATAGTCTAGTGTGAAACGACGTCATCAGGGCTATAATCGTTGATTGCAATTTACTAGTTTGCTGGTGAAACCCAAGCTATTTGCGTGAACTGAATGTCGATAAATTATATTAATGATGATGCTCTCTCTGGAAAAAAATTAGACCACTTGTATTCCGATGATTAGAAAATTAAAAGTTTAACTCAGAGATGATTGATACGAAGTAAACGAGAAACTAAATATTATTAAACCAACTTTTGCACAGCTAGATTCGTTGTACACATAATGTGAATACATGCCATAATTCAAACAAACACAATAATGAGAACTTCAATATAAATAGGAATATGTTAGCTAAACTTAACAAAACAAAATGTAGCTCACTTTGTGAATTGAAACAACTGCCTCTGATTATTCAGTAGATAATTAAATCAATTTGACTTGACACCTATCTCAAAGCTAATCACCAATGATAGTTCGATTATGATTTAATCTTGCGTTTGTAGAGATGATGGTGAAAAACTAGTCTCAGCACTTTTTAGTGATATTTATTGGTGGTCGTGATTTTTCAACAGTTAACTAATGTGAGAACATTCCAACCAATAGGTTATAGCTGAGTAGCTTAAAGAGATTATGTACAATGGGAGACCTAATTATACTATTTTGCTTCCTGTTCATCGTTGTTTATTTAAACAAATGATAAGTTTCTGATTAGCAGCTGACGATGAAAATTCTTGTTCAAATGAAAAATATAAAGACATAAACAGTTCATCTACATTTACCTGATATACAATATCCACTAAACTGAAGTAGACACAGAAACTTTGTCTATTTTTTATGAAAATAATCATTTAAGTTTTAACAAAGTTTCATGTAAATGACATTGAAATGTGAGATTATATGTGTAAATCTATCTATAGATGTTTATGTAACCCAAGGAATTTGTTTTTGTGAATAGATCTTAGAA